ACCAAGAGATTTTTTCTGACAACGCACAATCTATTTAATTAGTTAAATTTACATTATTTTGACATGGGACAACTATAGATATGTCATCTGCAAATAGGGAACATGGTACATCGATTACTTTGGGCAAATCGTTTATATAAATTAAAAATAGCACGCATTCGAGAACGCTGCCTTGGGGGATCGACATCGTCACTTCCACCTTTTTCGATCTGATAGTGGTTGTATTACCGGAAACGTTGTCGTGGTTTTCTATTTCGACATACTGACTACGGTTCTTTAGATATCACTCAAACCACTTCCATGCAATACCTCTCACGCCTATTCCTTGCAATTTTGACAGCAGTGTGTCGAATTTTACCCTCTCATATGCTTTGCTCATATCAAGCAACACGCCGATAGCTCGCTTCTTTTCATTAATTAATTTTAATATGTTTTGAATGTATTTAAATACAGCTAGAGTCGTTGATTTACTTTTCCTAAATCCGTTTTGGTTGTCGTTAAAGATTTTATACTTTTCACAATATGAATATAGACGCCTAGACATCGCGGTTTTAAATATTTTTGAGATACTTGATAGAAGTGATATGGGCCGATAATTATTACGATTTAGATGATCGTCTTTTTATACAGGGGTTTTATAATTGCTATTTTTAGCAGATCTGGAAAAATGCCATAAGTAAACGATTGGTTTATTAGGAGTGTCAACGGTAATGCTAGTTCCGCGGCACATTTTCTAATAAGTATAGGGGATAGCTCGTCATGACCAAAGCTTTTTTTGTGTTTTAAATTTCTAATAATATCGTGTATTTCTTTTGTGTGTACGGGAGGCAGATACATGGAGTTTATGGCCGGGGCGAGAACTGACCTACCGACTGGCATATGTTGGGATCCGTTTGCAATATTACTTTGCCCAACGGATGAAAAATGTTCATTAAAAAAGTCAGCAATTTTATATGGATTCTCTATAATAGAGTCATTTATTTGAAGCCTGATTTTTTTCCTGTTTCTAAAATTTAATTTATTTGTGCGCTCTTTTACTATTTGCCACGTAGTTCTAATTTCGTTATCGGAATTTTTAATTCGTTTCATATACTGCATTTTCTTTGATTTTTGTACAGTTTTCTTCAATAATTTCTCATAAGCTTTATAATGTTTAACTAAAACAGGATGACTGTTTTTACACAAAAATGATTTTAACAAACGTTTGTGCTTACATGATATTTTTATACCTGAAGTCAACCACTTCTTCTTACGGACATTTTTAAATTTTATTTTTACTATGGGTATACTTTTATTTAAAGTATTTCGTAAACGATTGTGGAATGCGTTATAATTTTCATTTACATTTTCTGCCTTAGAAGTTAATACATTTTCCCATTGAATTTTATTTAGTTGTGATTTAAATTTATTCATATTTTCTCGCTAAAAAATCTTTTCCGGATGAAACTACATTTGTTCACTTTGTTTACCTCATTTATAATAGGTACATCTATTAATAATCCCTTGTGATCGGAAAAACCATATTCACAAACAGAAGTTTTGAAATTCTCATTTTGAAAGTTAGTAAATAAAAGGTCTATGCAAGTTTCGCTAGTTTTTGATATTCTAATGCTTATATGCTGATGAAAATTACAAGTTTTCATTTGTTCTAATAGATTTAACGATAAGGTAGTATTTTCGAGGACATTAACGTTAAAATCGCCTCCAATAATAATATTTTTCCGGTTATATTTGAGTTATAATTGCTGCAAGAGTTTATCAAGTGAACTAAAAAATAATGCAGGCAATCTGTTTCTGTTAGGCCAATACAAAACAATTAAAATAATGTTATATTTACAAATTTCAATGGCACATAACTCAAACACAGACTCAACCGACAAACCATTCAAATCAGTAAGCTCAATAAAGTCTATATTTTCCCTTATGATGATGCACACACCGCCGCCATCATGCTCTGCGCGGCAGAAACATGACGCGACTCTGAAACCGTCTACACGCAGCATGTCTATTTTAAGTTCCGTTATCCATGTTTCCGTTAAACAAAGAACTTGTATATGCGGGTTTTCTTCAATCTCTGCTTCTATTGAAAATCTGTTCCTTATACTGCGAATGTTCTGATATACTATAGGGAAGTTAGGAACGAAAATTATTTTTTTAATTTGGAGCTGTATGTATCGAGGAGGATGTTTCTCTTTGAAAGGATGGTTTGAATTCGTTTATGTACAGTGTTGATATGTTCTCTACTTCGTTTCTGCCATCTTTGTTCTGAGTGAGATGATTCTTATAATCCAATAAAAATATATCTAAAATAAGCCATCTACATGAATTTGTTCTGTCTAATTGATTATTTCTAGAAAAACTTAATTTTGAGTAATGTAAGTTATCTATGTGTGAACTTATTGTTTCAATTAGTTTATTTAATTTAGATTTATTAATATATTTATTTCTCCTTATTTCCCCATATATAACATCTGTATTATTTAATGCACTAATACAATTGTATAAAGCAGATTGGAATTTAATTATATTATCGTTATGTGTACCAGCCAATATTATTACATAGTCATCTTTTGTGAACTCTTTACCCCCTGACTGGAACAAATTGTATTGAGCAACCTGCTCAATACAATTTGTTCCAAATTCGCGTTGGGCTTTATTATGGCAGTTATCTGATAGTTCTCACCCAGAATTGTCTGAAGCCTCCCACGTAGATGTCTGCCTGTCTCGTCGGCGTGCAAAAGTATGTTGTGTCTGGCCGAGTTTTCAACGATTTTCGTTCGGTTCGACTGCTGATGCGTGTTCCCATTTTGTACCCTACTGGGTGGAGTTATATGATTATTTTCAATATCATTTGTATGATTCAGGATCGCTTTCGCTCTAGGTGGGTTCTCTGGTGCGTTAGGGAATATATCATGGATTGGCTTCACGAAGGGCTTAGGTGTCGAAGTTAACGCGGCAGTTTTGCTGAGTCGATTTTTATTGTTCTTGGCCGGTGCCGATGGGGACTTGCATATTTCATTTAAACATCGTATCTTCTGTTCATATTCTATAATAATTTTCTTAAGAGATGAATTTTCTAATAATAAATTATCTATTTCTTGTTCGGCGCTACCTAACTTATTCTCTAAACTATTAATTATCTTATTCTTCTCTTCAATGTCATTTTTTGTATTTAATGTACGCTCGGGGCAACTGCGATTTAATTTGCTTTCTTTTAAGGAGTCATCGGAGAGCTACTCAGTATTTCTTCATCCGACAATGATTGAAAGGAGTTTTCAGTGCTTACATTTATAGCAAATTTTTTCCTCGTAGTCACGTTGTCATTATCGTCTATTGTATTGTATTTGTTTCGCTCTGTTTTGTTTATATCATCTCGAATTGAGTCAGTCAAGTCAGTAGTTTGAAGTTTTATATGCCGCGACGTTGAAGATGATGGAGTAACGCGTTTTACATCCATCTTTATACAAGTAGGACAGTGCCACTTGTCTTTTGTTTTGGATGTCATTAATCTGAACATTTGTTCACTAAGGTTTTTTAGACAAGAAACATCATAGTGTTTTGTGCAAATAGAGCATTTAAGGTACTCTCTATTTGAAATAAGTCTTTTACAAACAGCACAATTTTGCTTAAAGTTAGTTTTAGGTGCCATTTTCATAGGTTTTGGTTGACTATAAGTATTTCGTGCCTGGTAATGTACAGGTGTTGCCCTGTAGTGTCGACTAGTGGTATCCTAAATATGAAATGTGATGTTCTACGTGTTTCTTTTTGGCGGCGTGGTTCTATAGATCTTCACTAGGTGGCCCGCACCGACATTTATTCACACAGGGTTCAAAGGTCAATTTATGGGTAATTTAGCAAAATGTTCGTTATAAATCTCAAATACAAAATTAAACACTAAGTCTCCGAAGTTATAGTACAAAAAATTAAACTATTCCACTTATAAGTCACTTTTAATTAGGTTAATATGGCACTTATGCATTTTTATTTTGAAATGAGTGACCTAAAACCGTCGTACAATTTTAACAGTCACTTTTAATATTTCTTCACTTATTGCTGTCAAAACATTTCACAAACACTTCCACTGTATTTTTATATATAGGGTAAGGTTGCGGTGATTGGACCACTTAACTTCTAATAGCTATATAAATTAAAATATGTATCATATTTATATGTTTTTGGATTCTATAGATAAATTTTGTTTCCTGCTTTACGTTTTCTTAGTTACAAACTAAAATACAACGCCGTTTTGAAAATATCGTCAAAAAAGATTTCTATATAAGGTTTCCTTCTTTGGACCAGGGTACCCTTTATTGGACCTCTCAGCTTCCATCATTGGATTTTGATAAAATTAGCTCAGTGGTCCGATCAAGGAAAAGCTAAATTTAAGAATAATTCTTTAAATAAAAACATAAATTGGGAAAATCAGACTCTTTTATTAAATTACAAATAACCAGTCTTAACGCTTAATTTGGCAAAAAAAAAAACATTTTGAATTGAAACAAATACTGAAATAGGAATGTGTAGAGCCTAAATATGCCCAGAAAAATAGTAAAAAAAATCTAGGGTTTTCAGTTTTCCTGAAAAATCATGTATGCTACTACATACATTGCCAAGTGGGTAAAGAAATATGTATCCATTTGAATGTATGTTGGGGCATACCTTACCAAAACCAGTAAGAATAAAAATCATAAATATGTATTGTAACTTTAATTAAAAACAAACATAAATCAAACCTCTTTATAAAAATGAGTTGATGGACATACGTTATGAAAGCAAAGTAGCGGGAATAATGGCTCTGCAACACTGTGATTGGCAGTAAATGCTGGAAGTAAACCCAGAAACTCTACTCATTTTCGAAAATGATAAATTAGTTGACAATTCCTGGGTTTACTTCCGGTAACGAAACATAACCGGACTTGGCATTTGCTGCAAATGACAGTCGTGAACTTAGAGCATAACCTGCACCGACCCTGAGATGTCATAATCATGAAATGACCCACATTGTCAAATCGCGAGGACTCAACGGGAACTGGCTGTATCGCTTTTTGTGGTCGTTTTTTGATGTCGAGTGGGTCAATCACAGCACGTCTATTCTTTTTGAGTCCTTCATAGATTTCGTACCTAAAAGCCTTCAAAGGCATAGCCTTTTTTTTTATTTTAGTACAATCATTTCTGTAAGATAGCCATGCATTGTTGATGCATATATCAAGCAGCTGGGCAAATATGCCGATATACCAACGTCGTGTCTTGAAAGGAGTTCTGTACAGCGAGATGAGCATATCCGCCAAATCTACACCACCCATATGTTTATTATACTCTTTGACCACTTGTGGACAATTGACTTCAACTTTTTGTTTGGCCTCTTTGCAGTAGCGTTTGATTTTCTCTACCGGTTCTGTACCTACATAAGTACTGACCAACGTTACGACTTTGTTGTCATTCCAACGCACAACTGTCAGGCGATTTTTGTCACAAACTACTTGGTCATAAGCTCCTCGAGGCTTTTTCTTCATTTCTTTTTCCGTACGTAAAACTGCATCTGCTCCTCTCAATCTATTTTTTCTGATGGTGCCCAATGCAAAAATGCCGTAGTTTTCTCTCAGAATGTAGAAGAGTTCTGGGCATGAAAAAAAATTGTCGCAGAATATAAAAGCTGGTATTTTTTTTATACTTCTGCACAAAGCAATGACTACCTGAGCTCCAAAGCCTAGCGACAATTCTTCTTCTGTGAAATTATGGAACCTGAAAGTGTCCTCTCCTCCGTACAGAATAAAATCATAGATCATACCTGATACTCCAGCTCTGACAAAGTTTTTGAAACCCCATTTATTGGGTTTGTCTTTCATGTATTGGCGTCTCTTGCCGGCCTTAGTCCCTTTGTAAGGAATCATCATTTCGTCTATGCTGAACTTGGTCTCGACTTCTTGAGCTAAACAATTTGCTCTTATTTTTTCAACTATGGGCCTAATCTTGTGATATCTGTCACTATTATCAGTGCTATTGTCGACGAAATGAAGGTATCTTCGAATTTTTTGGTACCTTTTTATGGGCATTAGATCTGCAACTAAACCGAATCTATATTGCAGACTCCAATAGTCTGTATATGAAGGCATGGACACGACCCCCATCATGATGTGAATAGCCAGAAAATCTCGAAGTTCGTCTTCAACTAATTCAATCGATCGTCCGGTTTTTTCCATTGAATACGCATTTGTTTGTTCTACAATGTCAGTTATAACGTCTGGGGAAAAAAACTTGTAAAAATAGTCTAAGGGAATAGTAGGTGTCTGAGAATCGATTTCTGGTACATCTTCCACAGTTGCTTTGTGTCGAAAAACAGCAGCCCTTTTCCATTTATAGCACAGAATGAACTTTTTGATTCTGCGTGAGCGCTTAGCAACAGGAACCGTCGGTTTTTTCGATCGTCTTTTTCTAGTTAGACGATTTGGCAATGTAGAGGATGTAGTGGGGGTGCTAGGTATGGACACTGAAGGTTGTGCAGGCGAAGCTTGTGATGCAGAAGCGACTTGAGATACAGGATTTAGTGTAGCAGGACTGGCAGGAGTTGCAGGCGTAGCAGGGGTTGCAGGCAGTGTTGGAATGTCGCTTATTATTGGAATAGTGCTGCAATCGGGCTCAAGCGATGGATTCGGGTATACTTCTTGGAATATAGGCGTAAGTCGAACATTCTCATCGGTTGAGGTTTCATCATCGGAATCTAATATATTCAGTCTTTCTAAGGAACTCGCAATAGATAGGGCTGGGGAAGATGAGTCTGAATGCGAAACTGGAGCGCCCAATAATTCATCATCGACGTCAGATGCATTACCATCATCAGAGATTGCATTTTCTGTAGGGATCAAAGATAAAATTCTACCACCACGTGTGAGTAGCGCGTGCTGTAAAGAAAAAAAAGCTTGCATACACCAAAACTCAAGCCCAAGCAAACAAAAACCCATAAATCCCAAAAACATATCACAAAAAGAAATTAAATAAATTGGCAATGTATGCTGTGACATACAGCTTCGTTATACAGTGATTCATTACTAAGTTGGCAATGTATGCTGTGACATACAGGTTCGTTATGCAGTAATTCATTACTAAGTTGGCAATGTATGTCACGGCATACAAAGTTTATTTTCAAATAAAACAACAAATATCCACAAATATTGCCAAAATTGTAACAGTGAACACTTCACTATAATGTCACGATCGAATTATTAGCGTTTTATTCGAAACTTACGAGGAAAAAGTAATAAAAAAACAAATAAATACCTTAGTGAGCACAGCCCGCTTCTTTCGGGCAGGCATTTTGAAAAAAAGTGACAGCACCAGTGTTGCTAACACTCAAAAACATTTTTTTTCATAAAGTGTGACTCGTTTATGAGAATAAATATTAATAATTATATTGAAATCATAATATTTCTTTAACACTTTATTTTTTAAAAAAGGTTGTATGGCACAGCATACAATACCAAATTAAGGGTTAATCATCTTTACCTTAAAAAATAGTCAGTCAAATTATTAATCAACAGTCAAATAAATGCAGCTAACAGACCTCAATTCCTCAGTAGGAGAGACTCGCAACAATAACAAAATAAAAATATGGAAAGAATACTTATTTCCGAATAACTAAAAACACAACAAAGATAACAATTTTTTTTGTTGACAAGTCTCATGTGCCTGTAATTTCACCAGCACCCTTACCCTTCACAACCGGAACACAGTAATGTGACCATTACTGCTTGGCGGCAGAAATAGGTAAGGTGGCAGTACTTCCCTGGACGAGCTGTTTCACAAGGAGCTCTACTGCTACTAAAATTTTAAGTTTTAAGTAACATGGAACGAACTAACGTAAATCTCTATAGTAAATATATTTGTATGTACTATTTTAGTGCTTTAAGGTTCTGGAAACCGAACAAATGAATGATAAAAATAATTCTAGACACATGACAGAAAAATAGTTTAAAAAAACGATTATACTATGTGCTACATGTTGGACAAAAATATGTCTTTCTTCCTTTTTTCACACAGGCACACTCTTCATGTACCCAACATTTACACCCTAAACACTGAATCATAGCTTCTACTGAACACAAAAGACATATTTGGCAATACCACTTTTTAAATGCGTCGTCAGGTACAGATGACCTCTTTGCAGTCTTTTTTGATTCTTGAATCTTCATTTTAGGTTTCCGTACTTTAATCTTGGTTTTTTCTAATGCCTTCTTATAAGGTCTTCTTATAATACTGTAGCACGTTGCGGTTGGCGGCTCTTTTCTTTTAACTTTTTGATAATGTCTTTTGCTCCTGGCGAAATGCAACTGATATCAAACGCAGTGCTTATACTCGGCACTTGGCCATCATTTACGCTTGATCTTAAAAGTGTCTTCAATGGTGGAGAGAATTTGGTTGAGACATTCTTCATTGGAGGTGGTGCAGTGCTTGTACTCTGCACTTGGCCATCATTTACGCTTGATCTTAAAGTGTCTTCAATGGTGGAGAGTATTTGGTTGAGACATTCTTCATTGGAGGTGGTGTAATATATCCTGCAATGTTTTTGTTCAATTGTGTATTGGAGCTTTCTGGTTGCTGACGTTCAGAAGAAGGTGGTGCACAGGAAATGGGACTTCGCTCTTTTAGTTCTTGTGTTGTGATGGCTTCGTTTAGCTCAAGAGGATCCACTGCTTCATCTTGGACGTTATTAGTGGTTTCTGGAGATATAGTTATGAATTCGTAATCGTCAAAAGCATTTTTATTTAACGGCCAAATACCACTCTTCTCGAAACCACTCATTGCAGTCCCAACAGACGCTGCCCGACAATAAGCTTTACCAAAAAGCATGGATATTTGGAACGCCGTTACACATCTGCCCGGATTTGCTCGCAACCATTTTTCTGTTTCATCGATGAAGTAGCAACTCAAAGGTTTAAAAAATGCAACATCAAGTTGCTGCAATTTATTATGCATTGTTTACACGGGCTTCGTAGCTAAGCGCTTAGTACTTGTCACTATACTAAAGCCTCATAAGACAAGTGAAAAGTAACCGTTTACACGTTGGAGCCAGTAGAAGTCATTAGTGACCAGACATTCGAAATGGAACGACGCCGCCTGATTTTGCGCAGTGTGTTTAAACAATATTCAAACATTATTATTTCAAGCATGATCGAAGAGCTTGAAAGACAAACATTAAAAAGGAAACGTTTGTGGACAAGACAGTGGTTACTGCGCAGAGATGAACGGGGCCATTCTGCTCTTCTATTAAAAGAGCTAGCAACCGAAGATCCAGGAGAATATAGAGTAACTATGAGAATGTCGACGGCACAATTTGATATTTTATTAGAAAAAGTTGCACCAGCAATTCAAAGACAAGACACAAATATGAGGAGTGCCATACCAGCTAAATTAAAATTGGAGGTTACTTTGTCATTTTTGGCAACAGGAAGCAGCTACCGCATGTTATCACACATGTTCAGAGTTTCTAAACCAGCGATTTCAAAATTCATACCCGAAGTCTTGGATGAAATTTATAATCAACTTTCGGATTACATGAAGGTAAAAAAAACAATATGTTTGTTTATTGTTATGATTAGTGTAATCATTTGAAATAACATAAGTACACGAAATATTATTGTGTGAAGTCTTCACCGTCAAGTGTCATTGATATGGCCTGTGATAGGATATTTTCATCAGAAATTAAAGCAGGTGTGGATGCATTACGTAACGATCCCGCAGATGAGATGGTTTCCAATGTTTCAATGGAAGCAGATGTATTATTGTACATGTAGTTCTCGATCGCTAGTTCACTCAAAATATTTTGTATTCTTGTTTGTGCAATCATACTTCTCTCGAATGATAATTCTCTTAACTGCACTGCTACGTTCTTTGCAAACACATCGAATCTGTCTTCTTTTTCAGGTACATCCCTATTGACAGCTTCTTGTAATTTTTTTAGTTCTCCAATCGCACGAAATATTCCTTTCCGCTGTGACATATTTTTACTGGAGGTACTTTGACGTTGTTCCCCCCTTGGTTCCGAAATAGATTCAACCTCTGAAGTGGAAGCCATAGAGATATCTTGCTCGCTACTTATAGGATTATGTTGCTCGCTGCTTGTAGATCCGCTATCCTGAAAAATAAAATTGCATTTCAGGTTCCTGCTACAGAGGATGAATGGAAGAAAATAGAAAGAGGTTTCAATACACGTTGGAACTTTCCAGGGGCTCACGGTGCTATAGATGGCAAGCATATATGTATTCAAGCACCTCCTGACTGTGGCAGTGATTATTTTAATTATAAAGGAAGCAACAGCATCGTGCTAATGGCCGTCGTAGATGATGATTACTGTTTTATATATGCTAATATTGGCGCAAACGGCCGGTGCTCAGATGGTGGTGTTTTTCAGAACTGTTCGATTTTTCGTGATCTCGAAAACAATATGTTGCCAAACAATGGATTTTTTGTTGGATATGACGCATTTCCCCTGAAATCATATTTATTGAAACCTTACAAGCATAGTCCTTTGACCTACGAACAGAAAATTTTTAATTATAGATTGTCAAGGGCCCGAAGAATCGTCGAGAATGCTTTTGGCATCTTAGCCAGTCGCTTTAGAATTTTTAGAACATCTATATCTACGAATCTCACAGTTACTGATCGCATTGTTCGTACAACATGCACTATACATAACTGGCTTAGAAAAACTTCAAGGACATACCTAACCACGAGATGTGTTGACTATGAAAATTTGGAAACTGGGGAAATTATTCCAGGATTATGGAGGGACGCCAACTTTGATTTGCAAAATGTTCAGCCAGTGGGTAGTAATCACTCGTCAAGAATGGCCCGACAATTGAGAGAAAGATATACGAATTACTTCGTAAACGAAGGTGCCGTATCATGGCAATCTAGAATGATCTATTAGTTTAAAATGTACAACTTTATTAATTAAATTAAATCTATTGTTAAATAAGTACATACCTACTAATACCTGTGTTATATTATAACACAGGTTTATAACCTAGCTTAGGCTTCAGTCTCCCACAAAACATATACCTGCAAGTATATGATAAATAATCATGGTTCGAGACTTATTATTATTGAATATAATACCTACTTCAAAATAAATCTAATACCTACCCTATGAAAAATGTTGTTTTATTACTTACATTTTCTATAGTTGTGCGCCTTTCGTCTATATCTTTCAACAAACTATCCATTTCTTTGTACCAATGCAGATTTGGCACATAGACAGTATCAGTCCCACTTCCTGATCGCATTGAATTTTGAATTTTTTTCTTTTCCTGGTAATAGGTTGACCGAAGTGTTCTCATTTTCTTTTTTGCCTCAGGCACTCCGAAACCAGCAATATTCATCTCTTCAACGATTTTCTCATAAGCAGCATCTTTTGCGAGTTTATTTTTATATAAAGCCGATTTGTGGTTCCATAAACATTCATAGGATTTAAATTCCTGAATGAACTTGATTGTTTTTTCCGAATTCCACCTTTCCGCAGCCATGATCACAAAAAAATACGTAAGTAAATAAACACGTGTTTTCACTTCCCGGTACAACTTGTCACTAACTAACTTGTCGAGCTGTTTACATGCGGTCAGCAAGCGACAAGTGCTTAGTAAATCGTGGTGGGGGTATCGACTTGTCGCTTAGTAAATAGGATCGATCTCTATTCACTTGCACTATTCACAAACACTAATACTAAGCACTAATCAGCGTGTTTACACACGAGGACTTAGTATTAGTGACAAGTACTAAGCGCTTAGCTACGAAGCCCGTGTAAACGAGTCATTAGACGTGTGAGCAGGAAGTGATAGTAACACCACATTGTGTTCTTTGGCATAATTAATCGCATCCAAATTCTTGGTATGAGTGGTGTGGCCATCGAGTATAAGGAGGACTTTTTTGTCTTCAGTTGGTTTCACATTTTCAACAAAGTGCTGCATCCAAACAAAAAATATTTCTTTGTTAATATAGCCACTTTCTGGGTTGAATGCAAAAATACATCCAGGTGGTGCTCCATCTTGTAGTTCATCTTTTGCTCTTTTCCTCTTAAAAATTATCAGTGGGGGAACAAATGATCCGCCTGCACTAGCACAGCAAACAGCAGTCGTAGTAGTTCCACGTTCGCCACTTGTAATAGAACCAACTTGGTGTTTACCTTTTGGTGCTAACCTTTTGGTGCTAGTATTTTTCTTACTTTCCTCTGTACCGTGGATAGACCCGTCTCATCCATATTATAAATTTGTCTTGGGTCCTTAATATTGTGTTCATCCATGACTGCCTCCAGTTTATTGAAAAAGTCTTGCACTGTTGGTTTATTAAAAGCAGTAGCTCTATTCAGTGACGTGGCTCGTGGTTGTCGCAAGCTCAGTTGTGGGTATCTCTTTAAAAATGCATAATACCATTTTTTCCCGGCCATGGCCTTGTTTTTATTAAATCGATGGTTTGTATTGTTTTTCTCTGCGATTTGGTATGCTAGTCTTCTTACATCATTTGGAGTGACCCCATACAGACAAGCTTCCATTTCTAAAATGTGTTCATACAATTTTTCTTCCAACCCAGGAGTTAAATGAGCAGAAGATCCCCTGACTTGCTTCTCGTCTTTGGCATTCTTATTGGTCCCATCGAATCTGCGCTTTAACGTGGCTTTTGGTACACCATATACCCGACTAGCTTCATTTAAGTCGCACTCCTTCCTTTTTAAAGCAGTAATCGCAAGTTTCATGCTTGTTTCGTTCCACTCATAATACTTCCGTGTAGCTGCCATGCTGAAACCAATAAAATAATTTTATTAAAAAGTCAGTTTGCAAGTTGCCATGATTGGACCGGTCCAAATCAAGCAACTGACGCCGGTCCATTGATAGCAACTTTCTATTTATACACAAAACACGTGGCAAAAAAATAACCTAACATTTTGGATTAGTTCTAGACAGTAATACATTTACACAAATAGTTTGGCATAACACACGTGCAAATAACTAATAATAATAATCATAATTGTAGTACTTACATGGTAAAGAGTAGCGCGTATTTATTAGATGAAGTGGGGCTGTGAAACACGGACGCGCGTCTCGCGCGCTACTGAGAGTTGCGGGATATGGAGGGGGGGTGTTAAGCATCACGTTTGAAAAGACGGTTGATGTTTAATCCCAATAGTTTTGGAAATACTTCACTGGTCCAATCAAAGAGCCGGTCCAATGACCGCAACCTTACCCTATGTATTTGATTTGTTCATGTTTTTATTCTGAAATGCGTGATTTACTCAATTTAAAGAAAATTTAAACACGAAGCTAATGTTATGCCTCGTCGCGCCCTCTGTCGAACCTCCTTTATTTCTGGCAAATGTCATTTCGGACTACTGATAGGTAACCTCCCTAGGCAAATTGTTTCAAACTTTCTGATTCAAGGTCAAAAATATATGTTTAAAATTGACGGTAACACTAATCAAATATTTTAGAAACACTTAATCGTAAAAAAGTTCGGTAAAAATACAAGAGTAAAAAATGTGGTGCAAAATTAAAAAATCCACCTTGGAACGTCGCTCGCTGGCTCGATTAGAACTGACCATAGATTTCAACATGGCCGACGAAGCAAACGAGTATTGCGTCACTCGCGTAGGTATCGTAGTGTTCAAAAATTTCGAGGTGTTTCATCCTTGACATGTTCCAGCCGGTCTACCCTACTTTGGGTTTTACGGTGCCATTCTTCTCCCAAGCCCCCATCTACCACTTCCAACTCTATTTCATATCAGAGCGATCTGTATTTTTTGTATTTACTTCTGTTGGAGGAATCATGTCTGTGACCAATACATATATACGAGTATTTTAGATCAAATTTAGGGAGTTGCAATAACATAGCCACAGACTATAAAAACACAAAAAATACATGTGTAAAAAGTTGGTAATATAAGGTATATACTTGTTGATTTGCATTCTTGCCATATGTACAGAGGTCATTCTATATCCGAAACTGTACCCAAATCACTAAAAAAATAAATCGAAAAAAAAAAATTCGTATCTTCCTATTTCTTAATTAATTGCGGCAAACAAATTTGATCCAAACGTCATTGACTTGCACGGCATCGACACTTGCAAATATTTTAAACAATGGACCTTAAATGTACAGAAATAAACGCATTTTAGATCTATTTGGTGGTGGGCGACGGGGCGGGGTAGTGTCGTACCGAGCGCGCGATTGGTAGATCAGTCGACCTTGCTTCCCGTACTGACTGCATCTACGTCACGCTGACATTCCGCACATTCTATTCTAGTCTGTTAGGCAATGCCATGTGGCATGTATGTAAAGACGAGTTAGGTAATGCAAAAAAAAGGAGTTAGAGGCACAAGTGCGTGTCTATTCTTATGGCATGATGTGAAACGTTTAGTTTACGCGGAGGATACGAGTGTCGAAGTTTCTGCTTTCAAAGTTGTGGAGTCTAATGTTGAAACGAAACTCACGTGCGAATCTCTGCATAGCTGATGGTAGTAGCCACTAGCTGTGGAGCTAGGTACTTTTAGCAGTGCTTTCATGTAACCTAAATTGGTAAGTACCTGTTCCGGACTCCTTTTAATTTTAAATAGTTTGGACCATTGTCACTTTAATTTTTTATCCTTCCTTTGTTTCATGGTATTGTATTTTTTTCGCTTTAATAGAGCAGATATTTTTTCTTATTGAAAATAAATACATGGCTATTTAAACAACCAAGCCCTTTTCAAATGATTTACATACAACCCAATCATTATGGCGATCGTAGAAGAGTTAAAAAAGAACCGTAGGATTTGCCGCACGGCTTTTACCATCGCCATTAAAAAATTTAACGAGGCCGTGATTCTCAGAAAATCAAGCCCTGTGTTGGAAGGGCTATTTAGCGCGTTAAAGTCAAAGGCGAAACATCTGTTTAAAAATGATGAATTGTTGAAAGCTGCGTTACTGGAGGACACCACCGTTACAGAAGATGACATGTTATCGATTTTGGATCTGGAAGAAACTACCAATCGTGAAATTCAATTTAGTGTCCTCAAATTTAAATGTGATTAAATTTTGTCAGCATCTCATAATAAAAACACCCATTGATAATTCCACTATTAAAAGAAAATTCCATCTACCGGTACTAGAATTCAAGCAGTTTGATGGAAAAGTGGAGAATTGGATAGGGTTCTGGAGACAGTTTAAAAAAATCATCAAGATTCATCTATTGACGACGACGATAAGTTCCAATATCTGTTGAAGGCTACCGAACCAGGTACATCTGCACGGGAGTTGGTGGAGAGCTTTCCCCCGAGTGGTGAAAACTACTTACTATAAAACCATTAACAATAATTATGGTAAAAGAGTTTGGATGTGTGAACTTCCTGTGATATTAAATAGGTTACCAAAAACTCTTATAAATGAAATAAACAGATAAAAAGCCCACACAATTTGAAACATTCGAAACATTGAAATCTGGGTTTTTGTTTAAGCTCGCTCGTCAATCGTTTTACGAGACTATTGCTTGCTCCTGTATCTATTAAGAAACGTAATGGTGCAATGGAGAAATCAGTTTTTAAGTACACGTTATTTCCCATTTTATATTCCGGGTAACCGTGATACAGCGGGTCCCGCGCTTAAAATGGACTCAGGATTCGACGACACAGTGGTTTCCGTAGTGGGTCCGTAGGAAGGAGCGGAGTTTAATTATTTTTACCACTCAACGAAACAGGGACTCTTGGAGGAGCATGTTTTGACGAAGCGGAGATAGATAGCTCACGCTCCGGAGTCGGGTTGGCACTACGCACTTATTGTTTGTTAAATTTTTCGTTTTTTGTTTTTTTTACGCGTCCCGTATGGGATACCAGCGGACGATAAATAGCGACGGTATCAACACTGGTAATCCCACTTCTGACACCACTGTTACGGGGCAGGTCAGGAAAAGTTAAAAAAAAAAACTATTTTTAAAACACTTAACTTTATTCTCAAAAAGAGGTTTGTGTCTCATGCAAATCTAATCCGAACTGCCTGCTCCGCGCATGCCCGGTTGCACGCGTTTTCGGTTTCCTATTGCTTTGACGTAAATGCATTGGGAAACTCAGCGATTTAATTTTTTATTTTAACCCATGTAATTTCGGATATAACAGTTCCCACGGAGAATTGCGAAGGCGCTATTTAAGCGGTCTGATTATTCTTGCCCGGACTGAGCAACAGTCTGGTACACAGTTTTTTTTTACATAGCCCCATAAAAAATAATCTACAGGATTATTTAAGGTCAGGTGACCTGGCTGGCCACGAAATGGATCCACCGCGACCCATCCACCTATCGGGGAAAACTTCGTCCAGGTGCCTTCGTACAGCTATACCGAAGTGCAGAGGAGCATCATCGTGCTGGTAGACTAATTGTTCTTCTGGTTCTTCACCTAGTATCTCATGGTGGTGGTCTTGCAGACGACGCAAGTACACTGCAGCAGTTACCTTCTGTTCGTGTGGTCCAATCAGTCGAGAAGCTGTGAAGCCAGCCCACAAATTTACTCTAAATCCTTCTTGGAATCGTATTTCTCGAACGATGTGAGGGTTCTCGAGAGGCCAATAGAGAAGTTATTCAAATTTAATACTCCAGCTTTTGAAAATTTACTTTCATCTGTCCATATCACATTTCCAATAAAATTTGGAACTTCCTGATGTCGGCCTAAAAATTCTCGGTAAAACGCCATACGTCCTAAATAGTTAGAAGGCAAAAGCGCTTGTATCCTTTGCACGTGAAATGGGTGATATCGATGGCGGTTAATTATCTTCCATACGGTTTGATGTGACATGCTACAACGTCTTGCCAGGACTCTTGTGCTTATCCAAGGATCTATTGTTATAGCATTTAATATCCGCTCTTCATTAACAGATCGTGGTCGTCCCTCACAACTAGCACGATTTGAAGGGAATACACCCCGTCAGAGAACAAAAAGTAAGGAGAACGGACACTCTCCGCCCCTCTCAAGCTTTAGATACCGCACCACGCCCCGCACGTTGCCGGTCACATTGACTGAACGACAACAAGGCTGCCGGTGAACCGTTTTCGGGCGAAGACAGCTTTGATATTTAAATATAGTTTTCATTTATTCATTACGAAACTTGTATGTCAATATAAAATATAATATTACGTTACTATTTATAATGGTCGTGAATTGTGCTGTGTACAGCTGTTTATCATCATTATCCGAAAGATGAAACGAAGGAAGTAAAAAAAACTTATGCCTGAGACTCATTCATTTATTGTTTTCTTCATTTATTTACTGCTGAGTAATATATGTATGTATAAAAAATACAGATTTATTATATCAACATAATGAATGAGGCGCCATGACTTCGTGAGCTAGTAGACAAGGGTTCTCGAATTTTCAATTCATATTGCCGATAAATATTACGTAAGTAGCGAATATACCTAATTATTAACTAAGTAATGATGATCAACTTGGACACACAATTTCAAATACCTTGGTTACCTTATTTAAAGGTACATGTCCAAAAAATAACATTTTAAGTGCTTTTAATATATTTTTTAAATAAATCATCAATATTACTCTAGTTAGTGAGTAAATGAAAAATATGATATTATATCGATGTAAATACATAATAGACATGTGTAATTATTAGGATTCTGGATTGTATTAATATAATCATAGATAATAGATTTGCGTTAGCATTTTCGCTATGTAGGCGCTCTGATCATGTAACATAATAGTACAAGAAAATGATGGGTAACTCTGCCACTTCAAGCACTCATTTGCGTGTGTGCAGATAGCGCCTTTCTAATTATGAAGTAGTAGTGTAGTGTCCAGGGTGTGTTAATTCACGGTGCTTGTTTATAAAAACTCGATGATCTGGCCATATCTGGCGGTTAGGATACAGATGTTGATACCGCTCTCTGTACACCCTGGCAGCTTGACTGCCATTTCCACGACACTCGCCATAAATGTAGTGCATGAGTGCGTATTCTTCACTTGAGTATGGCATTTCCACATATTATTATGCCCGAGTTCCTATTCAACCACACAAATTGGTTTACTGAATCACATCTCAATTACAGTTTAACAGATA